GAGTCTGCATATTTCATAGCAATAATACTTTTCTTATCTCGACGTTAAAGTAAAAAACCTGCGGATACAAAAGAGAATCAAGGCATACGATAATTGGGATATATCTATACAAAAGAGAATCAAGGTCCATTAACGAAACAATAAAATGGGCTAAGAATATTTTTTTTGATCTAGATGAATTAAAACATTTTTTAGATAAAGTGTGGGTTTTCTTATAGATTTCAATCTTGGTTAGGTCTTCTTTTTGACCCAAATGAATTGAATTGTTTTTTTTAAATTAGCTGTATTAATAAAATATTTTTATTGGTGATTTTTTTTTGCTGAAGTGTCATATTGAGAAAGCTTGAAAAAGCTTAGGTGTCTTCACCAGGAGAGACTTATGTGTTATTGTTATTGATCTTTGTTATTTTGTTTTTGTTTTTAACATAACATTTCATTGTTTTTATAATTGCAACCTCGGATTCTCTTGAGTATACAACGATTTTGAATAAATTATTTTAAAAAAATTAAAATATTTGAATTCTTCGAAGATGACAACTTCAGTGTAGACGGTCACGGAAGAGGCTTTTTATTTTATTTTATTACTAGGTGTTGGATCCGCGCCATGCGCGGAAGTAATTTTCTGAAAATATTTTGTCGTTGATTTTTTCCAATTTAAAACATAATTAAGCATATATTAGGGGGGGGGGGAGTCTTTGTTGTCGACTTATTTCTTAGCAGTAGATTGTATTTGTGGCCCAATGAATGAAATATGTAAAGATGTTGAATTATAAAATTGAACCCGATGGACTGAAGACAAAAAGTTTTTTTTTGTTATTTTTTAACTGCCCCTAACAAATTTTGTTCCAACAATGAAAGAGTTTGTTGGAATCTGGGCAAATTTAGATTTACTTTCCAAAATATGCAATTAATGTAATCGTAAGTTTCAGTTAACAGTGGTTCTTCAATAAAGCCAATATCAACAGCTTTATTAGAAGATTCAATATTCATCACCCGAGAAGAATAATTCAAACCCTCCCCCCACAAGCATCAGCTATAATCAATTTCAGGGAAGCGTGGATCTAGATAATAAACTAAGTAAAATGGTTATATGATGAACAATTGTTTATGTCATCTTTAGATTCCTTTAAAATGATGAAAAATCTTGCTTTTCTTTTTGATTAAGAAGATTGTAAACCCTAGATTCTAATTCTTAAGTGTTTTTTTTTGGTAGAAATGTAACGCCCCGACCGCCCCTACCGGCGAGTCACCCATCCCTCCGTCGGCTCGTGGGCCCCGCTCCTGTCCGACATCGGTGCGTTATTTTACCCGGACCCCAACCGACTTATTTACTGACCCTGCAATCACCACATGATCTTTCCCCGTGTTTTGGCCTCACTCACACGGTTTCGGGAATCACTTCTCGAAAAGTCACCCATCCTAGTCCTACTCCAGCATAAGCACCCTTAACTGTGGAGTTCTCTCGGGACCTGTGACCGAAAAGATAAGTGCACTTTTATGACATAGGTAGCCAAATCAATTCATTTAAACTTATTCAAATGGGCCGGACCCGGATCGTTACAAAAAATGAAATTGGTTTCTCTCTTCGACTTTTAATGTTTGTAAAACTTTCATTTGTGCAATGCAATTGCAAAATTGGTTCTTTCTATTAACTGTTTTAAGAAAACTATATTAGATGTTTATTTGGTGATGAATGAATATCAAACTGCAAACAGAGGCAAAATCTTCTTGTTGAAGCTCTTCTGTAGGAAGGATTACCAAAATTCAAGTTCGTTTTCTCTCCTCCACCTCCTCACGTGAATGATATAAACAAAGCTAAACCTGCAGCTTCTAATCCAAAGACCAAGTTAGTGACAATGAAGTTCAGTTTAAATTCTTTGCTATTCATCGGGTGATAATGTTTTATTATCATTGAGCGTGTGACACCCTAATATAGATTGTCACACACTCAATGATAATCCTTTTATTTTCATTTTTTAAAAACAATCGAAATGATCATATTACTTTAATATACCTATTATATAGCATTAAAATATGATTGATTTCAACTTAAATAATTTATTTTAGGGTCGTAATGTCATGCCATTGGTGCCGAGATTAACATATATGTTAAACTCTGTAAGTAGTACTATCAACTTCAGTCCTATTAAGGTCTATGTTTTTACTGAATTTCAAAAGCTATTATTGACTTACACTCTAGTGAAGTTGGTATCAATGGTATTAGATTGTAAAAAAATAATGTTGCATTTCTCAACCTGTGATGAAAGATATCTAATATATATGATATTAAATAGATTTAATGGTGAAGATTGCTAATATGGATGAAAATTATGGATGATAAGATCATTATTATTGTTTCAAGGCCAATTCACCTTTTTAATCTTTAGGTCAGACATGAGATTGTGAGAGAAATATGATAATATGGAAATCTAGCTGCATAAAAAAATCGAATATTAAGGTGTGTTAGATTTTCAATTATAAATAAATACAATTTAATATACATTAACTAACAATAAATTTGTGAAGTATTCTAACCTTTTCTGAAAATCTTATGCTTCAGGTAAAGCAGGAATTTAGGGGTGAGCATTTCGGTTTTTGGTTCGGTTTCTTCGGTTTTACGGTTTATCGGTTTTACAAAAATTCAAACCATATATAAACCATATATATTTCGGTTTGGTATGGTTTGGTTTTTTACGGTTCGGTTTGGTTTCGGTTTGGTATGGTTTGCTTTCGATTTTTTTGGAATTATACTATTACAAAATTTTTTAATTCAAACTAATAGAAATAATAATAATAGATATGAGTGAAATAAAATAATAAGTTCAAAAATAGAATCTTAATCATAAAAAAAATCTATCAATAAGAACAGATTTCAAAGCAGAGAAACAAACAAATTATCAAATCTTTTATAATCAATAATTATAAAACAATAAGCAAAGCTAGATTAAAATTTAATACCTATAAGCTTGGAACTAGAACTAGAAGACTTGAATGTGAAAAAAAAAGATTTAATCACTTTTTTTTATTGAAAAATTAAGGTTTACATTATTATTTATATGTAGATATTTTTTATAAATATTATATTTTAAATTTATGAGTTAAGTTAGTAAATTATAAAGATAACTAAGTCCAATAATAAAATATGTACTTAAACTAAATTAAGAAACTAGGAAAATATAAATTATTTAAAATTTAGTTTAAAAACCGAAAAACCTTTCAGTTTGACGATTTTTAACCAAACCAAACCTAAACCAAAGCTATAAAAAATGATGGCCAAATGGATTTTTAGGTTTAACCATAACCAAACCATATCACTTTTTCGGTTCGGTATGATTTGGTTTTTTTGGTTATGATTTTTGTGCCCACCCCTAAGCAGGATTGTAAGTAAACTGTAGATGCTTCTTGGATTTGAAGATCTCCTGTGAAAACAATGAGATTAAAAATTTAGAATGGAAAACATGAGATTTACATAAAACAGTTTACTTAGATTTTCATTTGATAGAATGAGCTTTAATCCTTGTCGGGATGTTGCCGCGTATTGCTTCCAAGGATAAAGAAGTTTGTATTATTAAGGTATGTGAAACTAAAAGGAACATCCATCTACTTTCTTTTCTGATGCATTTGATGTAAACCTCTATTCCAAAGTTTGCGTTTTATGGTTTTGTTATGATGCTGGTTATGATCTATTTATACAACAATGATTAGATAAAATATTTGATTAGAATGCAATCTTAAAAATTAAGTAAATCTTAATGAAATATAGAAAATATAGAATACTATTTAATTAAAGTTTCCAGAGCAGTTAAGTTGTTTAATCATTCTGAGAATATCTGTTTTCAATAATTAGCTATATCTGCGCCGAGATTTGCTACGATTTCATAGTATTTGTATAACTAATTTTGACAAATCGTGAATATTAACATTTACTGATTTTGTTGATTGTTAGAATATGACTTAATATTTATGCTTTATTAGGAAATCGAAGATTTTATACTTTGATTTGTGGTTTCAACTGATTATTTTGTTAAAAATGGTATAAACTTGGTTTGACTAAACCGTGAATAATTAATATTGTTTTGTTCGATTAATTGATATATGCAAATTTCATAAACTTTGTATCATAATCTGACGTAATATCAGTTAATATACTTGATCCAATGGACTAAACCATGAATAAGTGGACTAAACCATGAATAATTAAGATTGGTTTGTTTCAATTTTGGCTGTGTAAATTATATCAGTTAATATACTTAGTCGGTCCAATGGACTAAACCGTGAATAATTAAGATTGGTTTGTTTCAATTTCGGATGTGTAATCAGGTGAGTGAAGGTAATTCAAATTTTGACTCCAAACATAAGCCAAGCATAAAATCCAAATAGAACTCAGTTTTATCTTTATTTATGGTACGATGAAGAAAATGTGTTTAAGTTGGAACCAGTTTGATTTAAAACCAGTTATGACCATTTCATTAATTAACTGTATATGTGCACGATTGCTTTGTACGTATTATTATATTATTTTGAATCTATAGAAATTTAATGGTATTATAATGTAAATAATAAGGTTAATTTAAATTTATATTTTTCTTTTATTGTATTATCAAAATTATGCTTGTAATACAATTGTCTTTATTACCTTTAATGAAATTATGAAATTTTTTAGTAAATGCAATGGCATGACTTGCAAATACCATGGTATGATTTGTAAATACCATAGTATGAATTGGACATTTATTAAAAATAATCTTCTTTTAATAGTTTAGATTCACTCTTCTTTTCTAAATTACATTTTTTACTATTTCATTGAGGAAAGACATGCTTTGAAGCTGTTGAGAAAATTACTTAACTTTTTTCGTGTGATTAACATGACAATTGACAAATAGATAATACCCTAAACATTATTTGTAAAGTGAATTTTGAGAAAAAAATGTACATGTTATATCCACAATCATTCTTACAAAATAAAATGTGACACGATTTAATAAGAATTTATTAACATAGCTTTCACAAAAACATAAAAATGGACAATTTAAATCCTAATTATTGTTTTTATCGTTTTGAAGGAAAAGAGAAAACCGCATGCTTAATATCAGATTCAGAATATAGAAGCTTCAAGACTATATTACTTGTTCTTTTCGTTTGGAAATGTCCTCTATTTTCAGAATTTTACATGTAAATAAAATTTGACGAGACACTCATGCATCTTTTACTCGTTACACATACGCCTTATTTGACCTACTATCTTACTTTTTTTTTTTTTTTTTGAACTTTACCAACTATCTACTTTACTGCGTTGAAAGCTTGAAGCTGCTCGTATGGAGTGTAGAGGTAAGACCAATGACTAGTGCTTTGCTTTACTTGGACTTGAGAAGCATCGAAGAGAACGGAGCCACATTGTATGTCTCAGCCACGCCGGCCACACCTTCCTTTACAAAATCATTAGGTGACTCGAGGTTTGTGTCAGCCTGAGGAAACATGACATTTTGAGTCGATCACTGAATCAAGAGAACCAAAGAAGAAAGTTTGAAAGTTCGAAAGAAAAACTGACCACTCGGAACCATTGTTTCCCCGGCGGTGGCTGTGGAATCAGAGCCTTGACAAAGTAGTCGTGGGCGTTAAATGCTGCATAGATGTCACCACCACCACTTACACCGTCATGGAGCCTGCAAGAAGGAATCACTTATTGTGTAATTTTTTTTTGGGTATATTATGCGACTTTAACCGAACTGAACCGTTTCGGTTTTATTTCAATTACTTAGGTTAAGTCGATCGGCAAAACTGATTCGGTTATCAGTTCGGTTGAAACCGAACCAATCAGTTAACCGTAATTTTTCACAAAATATTAAACCAAAATGACCGAATCATACCAAATTTAATTAAGAATATATCAAAAGTTTTGAACCAAACTAACCGAATCAACGAAACTAATTATTTCGAACTTACCCAAATTTAACCATATTTAACCTAATTTAACCGAATTTAAATACCAAAAACCTCGGTTAGATTCGGTAAAAAAATTAATACCAAAGTCCAAAACTACCCGATAGGCCAGTATCCAAACAATAATTTGGTTAGTTTTGGTAGAATTATTTCAAACCGAAATGCTCGACTAACCGCCAAACTGAAATAACCAAATAAACCGAACCGGCAAGCCTATCGGTATCGTGATGGATAGCCCTGCTTCTAATTTGAACACCCAGGAGAATTTACCCGTTTAAGCAGTATTACACACTAAGGAAAGAAACTTTAGGACTTTGGTGGCTTACGTGAAAGCTAGGAACTTGCTCTCAGGGTTATCCCAATTGTCTTCATGCCATGTAATCTCCCCCTTTAAACAAACATTTCACATTAGAGTGGCACTCAAAATCAAGGAAGCGATGTAAGCAAGAGGAGGAGGTTGTAGTTACTTGGCTGAGGAAATTTTCGTGCTTGAGTATATGGTGTGAGTGTCGAAACTTGATCATCTCCGAGAAAAACCTGAAATGGTTCTGCTTCTTTGCGTCCAGCTGGATTTAAAAAGAAGAAATGATTCCAGTTCAAAAGAGAATCTCGTAGGAACCGCGAGATGTAAGAGTAAGACTTGCCTCTTTCCACTGGAAATTGTTGAGAGCTGTATCATGTCCGTAGCTATTGTTATTACCATAACGAGTATGTCCATATTCATCTCCCATTAGCATCATTGGTGTTCCCTAATCACATTGATCAGAGTCAAGTCTCATACGAATTTAGGATATTTTTAACATAATTGAAACGTACCTGAGATATCATCAAAGCTAAATGAAAATTCTTCATTTGTCTAGCACGTAAAGACTTAGTGTGAGCATCATTAGTTTCACCTGCCAAGAAACATAGTGTGTAAACTTGAATATTGAAATAGGAAAGTTCAATGTTGTGAACTGTGAAGTGAGGTTCTAGTTGTACCTTCAAAGCCACAGTTCCAGCTATAATTGTCATTACATCCATCGTTTCCTCCTTCTCCATTGGCTTCATTGTGCTATAAATTACATAAAAGATACGTAAAGCATTGACTCGTCCAGGAATTAACATCAATAGAATGGGAAATAAAATAAAGTACCTTAAAGTTGTATGTTACAAGATCTCGCAATGTGAATCCATCATGCGCAATTATGAAATTTACACTGTGGTAAGGCTTCCTCTGGTTAACCTATATATAAGAGAAGAGAGGAAATGTGACCATGTAACCAAATTGGAATCCACTGATACAAGTATTGATAACTTGAACGAATCTTACCTGGTAAAGATCGGAAGATCCTGAAACACGAGTAGCAAAGCTTCCTTTCATACCACTGTCACCCTATAAAAATGTGGATACATTAGAGTGTTTCTGCAATAACTCTTCTTTCCAAATCTCCATTGTTGTATACCTTAATAAATTTTCTAACATCATCACGGTACATCCCGTTCCACTCAGCCCACCTGACTTGGAAACATCCATAGTCATATCAGACTAGAGATACTTGATAATCACAGAGATTTGGGAAACTAGTAAGTATATTACTACTGGGCATCCACTTAAGCTAGTTATAAAGCTAAAACTGTTACCTATCCCAATTTGGAAACTTCCCAACTAGATATAATCCTCCACAATCCCAAGGCTCTGCAATTATTTTAGTTCTTGACAGAACGGAATCCTTGGCAATTGCCTGAATCAATAAGAAAATTCAAAATGAGTATGCTCAAGACTACTATTATATTTGATGATTCGCAATGCCTTATCAACGAACCCTTATGAGTGGGGGAGCACTGAGTGGAGATCCATGTGTGTCTCGGCAAAGCACACTAGCAAGATCGAATCGGAAACCATCCACGTGATATTCAGTGACCCTGTGGTTAGGTAAAGAGAAGAAAGCAGAACCAGGAATGATTAAATATGTGAAGAGAGAAAAATCAATGAACGATCCTTTCAAAAATCAGTATAATGTGCATAATAAACTTCAAGGTGTTTAGTGTTATTGTTTGCTGTGGCTGACATAGATTTTGTACATACCAGTGCCTTAAGCTATCTAGTATTAATTCCATAACAACAGGATGGCTACAGTTCAGTGTATTCCCTGGAAACAGAAAACAAAAAGAGACGTTGAGGATTTAACACAGCTAAGTGAAAACCGAACATTCATTTGAAGTACGGAATTTTCAAAAGACAAGCCTGGAATATAAACATCAAAATAAATTACCACAGCCGGAAAAGTTGAGCAGTTGGTTGTTTGGATCAAGCATGTAATAAATCTGCATATAGATTTCAAATTCTTTAGAGTTTAAAGATAAGAAAAGCAATAAAGTATAACGAGGGTCACTCTTCTTATGACTCGCCTTGTTGTCTATGCCACGAAATGAAGTGGTATAAGGGTATTTGTCATCTGCTTCATTGGTGTGATTATACACTACGTCCAAAATGACCTGCACAGACGAAATTGTGAGAAGAATTCTGAAGAATAATAAGTTATAATAAGTTCAACAAGGAACAAACTTCATCGGCCAAAACGATACCAGAGGCTCAAAGGAAGAGGGCACTGCATACCTCTATACCAGCAGAATGTAATGCTTTGACCATTTCTTTAAACTCTTTCGAAGCTTTAATAGGGTCTCCCTCACCACTAGCATAACGGCTCATTGGAGCAAAAAAGTTTACTGTCGAGTAACCCCACGTGTTAACCTAGCAAGAAGGCTTTGTTTCAGCTTGTGGAACCACTGGAATTCTCATTCATGAACAACGCAATATAAAATTGAAAAGGGCAGGATTTTATAAGACACGAGAATTGCTGATTCGTGCTTACCATGTGATCTCTAGGATTAGGACGCCTCTGAAGCTCCAGTTCATCAAACTCAAACACTGGCAATAACTCCACCGCGTTTATACCAAGATCCAGAAGGTGTGGGATCTTTCAAAAGAAGGAGAAATAAGTGAGATAAAAAGAAGCTTTGCATATAAACATACAAGACCTTCTTGCTATTAGCTCTTGTGCTCATCAGATGTAAGCAAGAATCTGCAGTAGCTTCAGCATCTCAGCATATGTTTGCGGTAGAATATAATTACCTTCTCAATGACACCAAGGTAACTGCCCCCTATAGATGGATCAATCCCACTGGACTCAGCAGCAGTAAAAGCACGAACATTCATTTCATAAATAACAAGATCCTTCTGCGAAACAGCAGCACTTGATGAGAAAACTGTAAGAAGATAGATACATTGCATTTTTCATAAATGCTGCAGAAATACAAATCCCATTATACCTCAGGTATGTTAGGGAACTTGTAGTCATCTCCCCAGTTAAATGGCGAGCTCTCAAAGTCATAAGTTCCAAAGAACTGAGCAAACTTTTGTCTACTATCTCCGAAAAAGCTTCGGCCTTTCACTAGCTTTGCATAGGGATCCAAAAGCACAATGCTACTGTCAAACCGATGCCCTTGATTCCATTCTCCAGGACCATCAACTCGGTAACCATAAAGAACGTTATCGATAGGCAAATCCTATCATAATCAAAAAATTTGCACAGCCATAAACAGTGAGAAAACAAAAAGATTGCTTAACAAATGAACTGTCTGAAGTAAGTTCCTCAACGTATGATACTACCTCAACACAAATATGCCAAGTATCCCCAGTCTTGTTTATGCTGGGATCCAAAACCAACTCGATCAAACCTTCACTAGAAAATATATCACCAAAGAAAGAATAAGCAACCAAAACATAAACAAACTTCAAAATCTAGCGTTTGATATAGACATATGAATGAATACCTTTGGGGAAGTGATAAGCAGAGTGTGACAGAAGTAGCGTTCTGAGAAAACAGAGCGAAATTGATTCCCTTATCGACTTGTGACACACCAAGAGGAGACATCTCACCAGAGGAAACGTTGAAGGATCGTTTAGTCTCCGTCATCGAAGATGGTTCTTCCTCTATCACCCGTTCGTGTGCGCGACGACAAGTGACCTTAAGTGTTGAACTATCCTTAATCTACCTAACGATAAAACAATGACGATCTTATAATTCGTATGGCGTAAAACTCAGAAAACCAGAATGAGACTGGGAATTGCGAAGAAGAAGACATGCCTTACGGGAGATTAATCGACAAATCGGAGCTCCGGTCACCCTCCTGCTCAATTTCAATCGACGAGTACGAAGCCAAATTGAGAGGAAAATGAAGAATCAGAACTCAAATTCGAAATCAGGAGAATCAAAGAGACGAGAGGTGTGATTGACTAACCCCATGGGAATGAAGTCAGTGAAGGCATTACCGGAGGAAGAGAGCGGCGGAGGAAAATTGGAAGAAAGAGAATGACAAGAAGAAGCAAATGAGTTAAGCATCGCTCCTTTGCTTCAATGATCGGAGAGTTTCCGAATTTCGAATATACTTTTTTCTGCTTTGAAGTGAGATTCTATGTTTCTGATGGGACTTTGGGAGAAACAAGGAGTTTCGAGAATGGAGGAGAATCGTTCCATCGAGGTGTGTCTGCCACGTGATCGGGAAGCGCGAGTCCCGTGTATACGTATAGCTTTCCATTGCTTTTTTTTTTTATTCTGAGGATTTTCTCGTTTGTCATTTTCCGGAAAATATCTTCCTGTATGAGAAAGTAACCAAGGAAGTGGGTCTCTCACTCGCTAATGATGATTGGTGGTTATATTTTTTTTTTCTTGGCCATTTTGTTTGTCTGGTGGTACGTTCTATATATGTCATGATTTCTTTGGATGGAGGTAGTCCAAAGTTTTGGTGTCGCTGGTTTTTTGGCGAAAGATGATGCAATCTTTTACAATTGATACTTGTTTGAGTCTCTTTGCGTTGTCTCTAGCATGTCTTACTCTTCTCTTTGATTCATGTTGTTGCTTTCTTTCCTTCTTATTGTTCAACCTTTAGTGTTTGTGTGGGATGTTAGCGATTAGGAGTAGTTTGTGTTAAGTTACATGAGTTTCCAACCTAAAACCAATTGGCTGTAAGTGGATTGGCTCATGCTTTTTATATATTAGTTAGGATCTCTTTCAACTTCCGATGTAGGATATTATCCCTAATACGCCTCCTCGAGACGATGGCTACTTTGGCCATTGATCTCGTAATATTTGGGCAAGAATCGACGGACCATCTTTGGGTCACATATCAATTATGGATCGAGTTGGATTGTTTGGATCGGGCTCTGATACCATGTTAAGTTACATGGGCTTACAACCTAAAACCAATTGGCTGTAAGTGGATTGACTCATGCTTCTTATATATTAGTTAGGATCCCTTCCAACTTCCGATGTGGGATATTATCCCTAATAGTTTGTGGATCCAAGTGCTTCTTGTCGGTTTAGTTATCTCTAGAATTTTGGATTTTTGTGTTAGTTTAGTCTTTGCTGTTTGGTTTGTTTTACATATGGATTTCTATTGTGGAGGTTGCCGTTCCTTGGTACCGTTTGAGGTTGTAGGCTCTATTTATAAGTAAAGCAGCAGTCTCGATCTTTAGTTGTTCTCTTGCAAGGAGGTGCCCAATCTCCAGTCTATCTTTTGTTTAGATTGGGTTGCTACTGTTGGCGAGTAAGAGCTGTTGGTTCTCTTTGTCAATTCGCCGATTTTTCTTTAAGGTATTCACTATAACAAAACAACCATTACAAGGCTCAAACGTGTAAACATGCAAGCCTCATCTTCTTGCTCTCACAAATGAGAATTAAGTCCATATTCACAAACTGAATGAATAAATTATAACTTTAGATCTTTTTTATATAGTGACGCCCAAACATAACAGTATTAACAAACTAAATGGTCAATAATATCATCTTATCGTTGACCATCTTCTTTGATTTCTGTTGACTCCTCTAAATGCTTAATTTTTGTTTTTTTTAAACGCTTAATTCTTCTTGTATACACCTGTAAAAGCGTATGAATACCTCCATCTCGAGACCGAGCTTGCACTCAAGCGTAAAGGATGAAAATTGATGTTATAGCTCAGACACACCCAGCCAAGTATTCTCATGTTCCGACAAACTCTTCCAATAAATAAAGGCCTCTAAGTACCCTTCAACATGATCCTTGGTCTCTACAATTGCATGTGGTTCAATGATTACATAATCCTTCTGTGTGACTGATGTTGGAAAGGGAACCATGATTCTATCTTGGCCAATGACAGGTTTTGATTAACAGATATGAAATACCAGGTGAGTCTTGGAAGAAGGAGGAAGACGCAAACAATAAGCCACCTTGCCCACTCATTCCAACATATCATACAAATCCTAGTATCGAGCTGTCAGGTTTTGCCATATTCTCAGACTCACCAAGTGCTGTCTATAGGGTCGCAACTTCAGATACACCTTATCACCTACTAAAAATTGCAAGTCCCTGAATTTCTTATCAACATTAACCTTCATATTAGACTTAGCTTTGAGCAGATGTTCTTTAACCTCAGCCAAAATATTTTGCATCACGTTCCTGCAACATTGCTTCGAACTCAAAATTCTGTGTAGAGACCTTTTCATACTACAGTAACGCTGGTGGATCTCTACCATAAACTATATTAAAAGGAGTGCACTGAGTAGCCGTATGAAAGGAGGTGTTGTACCATAGTTCAGCCCATGGCAGGAACTTTGCGCGCTGAAGAAAAACAGCGACCATATGTTTCAAAAAACGGTTCAGGACTTCTGTCTGTGGATGAAAAAGCAGTACTGAATCTCAGAGTATCTCCAACTCTATAGCAAATCTAGTTTCAAATTTTGTTTTGGAATAAAATATATTACAACCCCATCTCATTTTCAATTGCATAATGGTATAATGCTATTTTTGATTTCAAATATGGAATCATTTTATTATGAATTTCATTTTGCAATTGAAATTTTTTATTTATAAACTAGTCCTCCAAATTTTAAATATTTTTATTTTAGAAGATAAACAATATTTTGATGATGATTTCTTTTTTATTGATGATTATAAATATCAAAACATTCTAATTTCTGGAATTAAAATACAAATAACATTTATTTAATAAAAAATATAATGACATAAACCATAATAATGTTTTTTTTAAATAAATTAAATGAATGGATTAATTTGTAAAATTTGAAAATACGTATATAATTAGTAATTAATAATAAAAGAATATAGTTAAAATATTTTTTTTTAAATAAAAAATGTAATCATACATAGAGTAAAGTCCAATTGCATTTTTTAATTATTCTATTTTGATATGGAAAATGCAATCACATATAGGAAATGCTCTCAGCTTAGTGTCCGATAGTTTGAAACATTCCTTCCAAAAATTGCTCAGAAAAATACAGTCTTGATCCGAAATTATAGACTTAGGATATCCGTGGAAACGAATCACCTCATGAACAAACTTATGAGCCACAAAACAACTGTATTTACCAAATCTGTCAACCACCACCAAAATCACATCAACACCCTGAGACTTAGGCAATCCTTCAACAAAATGTATCGAAATATCGTCCCAAATCATTGTTAGTATAGGAAGTGGTCGCAATAATCCAACAAATGAGAGAGTAGAATATTTATGTGTTAGACATAATAAACACACCAATACATACTTCTGAACACTGTTCCTCAATACTTCCCAATGAAGATGAGTTTATATTTGCTTTTGAGTTTTTAAAACACCTGAGTGGCCTCCCAATAAACAGTTGTGACATTCCTGTAAAATATTGGGAATAAACTTTGAATTTTGAGAAATCACAAGTTGTTTCTTTTACAAGACCCATAAAACAGTTTTTTTTTCCATGGCGTAAACATCGTCCGATGGCATCTTAATTGCAACTCAGACATGCTAATGTATTCCAACCAAACAAATTTTCGAGATCTGGAAAGTCACTAATAGTCCACATTATGTCTGCTCGCATATCAAACATCTGATTTATGGAAAAATCTAGAATCTTGATCCCATCAAACCATAATTCTTTCAGCTCTTTAATAAGCGGCTGCAAATACACATCAATGTCATTACCAGATATTTGCTTTCCCGAAATAATCATAAAGAGAATCATCGATGATCGCTTCATTGACATGTATATAAGTTTCTTTATACAGAAACATTGTTATTTTTATTGATATTTGTAAAAGATAATAAATGAAATGTATACATTTTTGTATATAATTTAAAATAATTCTGAAAAATATAATAACAGAAAAATGAAAAAACTTACTTTTGATCTCAAAGAGGATGTGAAACTGAATCAAACAATGTAATAATATGATGATATATATAAGCAATTCTAAAAGATTAAAAAAAAAGTAACATAAATGTATTGGGTCTCTGTTTATATCCAACACCTTTTTTTTTCTTTTGCAAACCAACATTTTTACATTGTATTAATTAAAATATATTTTTTTTTTGCATTAGAAAAAGTGAATAATATATTTGTTGTTGTAGAGAGTTCTGCATTTCTATTATTCTGGATTTGTACTGTATTTTATCTGTATTCCATTTAAAAGATTGAGTGGTGACACTAATTAAAAAAAATACATATCAAACAAATTATGCTGATCTATCATAACTCATACATATCAACAAATTTAAATTGACATGCTCTAAATAAATGAATGATGAAATTGTTATACTTTTATCATAAAAAGACAAAATAATTTTGATATGCATGCAGATTTTTATTGTTTTATTATTTATTTTTAGTTCTACAGTAAAACAATTGAAAAGAAAGAAAAAAATATTCTGTATTTATTATGCATTTGTTTTATGTTACCATTAAACAAATACATATCAAACAGTTCATACATAAAATACAGATCAAACAAATAGTAATATTTAATTTAATAATGCAAATCTGCATATATTCAAGTGCTTTTCACCTAAGTTTTTTTTATGTGCTCATCAAAATAATACGATTTTTATTCTGCATGAAAAATATTTAATTATTATTTATTTCTTTTTCTATTCCTGAATAATAAATGTTTTAAAGTTTTTACACTTATTAAAAAACTTTAAATAAACACTTTTTAATCTTGTTTTAATTAGTTATTACTTAAGTTTTCCTTTAAAATAATAAATATTCTAAAAATAAATTAATTAAAAATAAATAATAATTACACTTAAAAAATTAAAAATATCTAATATTTTAAAATATTTTTTTTCTTTAAAACATCCATTATTTAAGAACATAGTACATGATAGTTAGTTTTACATTTAGTTATAAATGATGTAATAGTTTAGATAGTTCTGCTTTATAAATGAATTATATATATTCTATATTTGTTTTGTTGTTGCATTTAAAACATGAGTTTATGATCCACACATAAAAACAAATATTTTGTGGAAATCACATAAATACTTGCAGATTCAATTATTGAATAAAATATTATTATTTATTGATCTATATTTTATGCATGATCTCGCTTGGTATGTATTTGTTATGCGTGATATGAATATTCTGGTTGTCCTGTATTTTTTGAACTGTGTCACTATTGAAAACCAAAATAACTTTGATCGCTTAGTGTAATGTCATGAGAAGATTTCACAAAGGCAATAGTTTCTCCATTTCCCACAACAGTAGCATAAGTATAGTGAACTTTTGGCAGTTTGTAATTAGGTGGAGCAGCATGTGTACATCCGACATACTTTAAGTGTTTTGTTTGTGCGATATCTCCTTTCCTTACAAAATTCAAAGCCTTGGTGATGGTATATCTAAAACATCGATGTTCTGTTTTCAGGTAGTTTGTCCCTCCTTTCTCCATGCTTATAAAATCCACTAGGTATTGAGGTGAGTAATCGATGTATTTTGTATCATATCCTAAGATATATCTCAACTCACTTAAGATCTCTACCGCTACAACAGCCTAACAAGTCTCTGCAGAAACAACAATGATTACAAATTTTAATTATTGATAATAAGAGCTCGAAACTCAAAAAAAATCCATCCATTAGATAAGAAACCAATAATATAGATTTGCAAGTATTCATGCGCTTTCTCAACATTAAAAATTAATATGCATGCATATATATATATATATATATATTATCTTTCAGTTAAAATTGTGAACTGCTTTTTATTTTGCATTAGGAATGTGCATCTATTAAATGTTTTTATTCCGCATTAAGCATATGCATCAATTTAAGGCTTTGAATAGTGACTCAAATAAAAAAATGCAGAACAACGAGATTATGCATAACAAATATATTTCAAATAAATAATAATATTTTATTCAATGATATAGATTTCAAAGTATTGATGTGCTTTCCATCAAATAGTTTTTTTTTTTATGTACATATCATAAAATTAAGGCTTTAAATGGAATACATATTAAAAAATGATAGATCAATTAAATAATACAGATCAAACATAACAAATACAGATCAATAAAAACTGTTTGATATGCATTGATCTGGTCATAGCTTTGAATGGAGAGGCAGATCAAAAGCAGAACACTAATCTGCATTTTTCTTCCATTCATCTATTTTTTGCAGAACTAAATATAAATAATAAAAAAATTTAAATCTGCAGATCAAAATTTTCTTGTCTTTTAGTGATAAAAGCAGAAAAATCCCCATCTAATTATTTAGACCGGACCAATGAACATCAATTGATCCGGATCTGTTATGCTTGATCTGCATGATTTATATGATCTGCATTTTTTGTATCTGCCTTCCATTTAAAGCCCATAATAAATAGAGGATGAATTTGTTCTGTTTTTATCACAAAAAGACAACAATGAATGGACACACAAATCAAATGCAGATTTAAAGAAAAGCAGAATTATCTGCATTTATGTACCATTCACAGTTTTATTGCATAACAAATAATTAATAATAAAAAAAACAATATGTATGCAAAACAATTGTTTTTTATATGTATTCAAAGTCAAGAAATGTATTGGAAAGTAACAAATCACTTCCAGATCTAATTTTATAAATATTTTATTAGTATTAATTCAAATTAATCATGATCTCCATAATCTACCTAATCTCGCACATATATAGTTTCATCTGTATAATCTGACTGATTGGTATTTTTTTATTTATATTCGCAATCAAAGGCAACAATATTTTGATATGCATACATATCAATAATATTTTATTATTTATTTTTAGATCTGCACTAAAACAGCTGAATGGATAAACAATGCAGATTGATATGCTTTATAAATAATCTGCAATTGTTCTGTATCTATTATGTGTTACTATTCAAACACTTAATAATCTGTTTTTGTTATGCATTTGATATGTCTCTTCATTCAAAACCACAATTTTTATTTTGCATTGATGTTATAAATGGGGAACAAATGCAAATGATTCTGCTTTATGAATAATATGCATAACCATTCAAAGCCAATTTTTAATCTGCATGCATGTTACTTATTCGCTAGATAGACCTTGTGGCCATGAAATTGATTGGATGAAAGTTGCTCAATTCGGATATACACCATCTGTGAGATAGTAAGCCATGTGATTACGGCGTCTATTAACAAAGTAAGACACCATTGGAGCTCGACCTTCTAATATAGCATCAACGGTGGAGAACATTGATATCGTTTAAGGTAGCTGGAGGTCTGAAAAGCGTGCCAAATCCAGAGATCATGTGAAGCCACAGCCTCTAAAACGATTGTGGGTTTTCCATGTCCACATGAATATTGCCATTTCCAAGCCGTGGGGCAATTCTTCCACTCTCAATGCATACAATCAATGCTTCCTATCATCCCGGTAATTCCGCGAGACTCTCCAACATTAAGTAATTGTTGGAGATCCTTCGGTGTAGGCCTTCTCAGGTACTCATCCTGATGGAAAAACATAGGCCATCATACATGGTGACTGTACACTTTTGTAGTCTAGACAGACCAAACCTTCCAGTAGCATCTTGTCTCTGTTGAAAGAATGATAATTCATTGGAGAGTCTCTAAACAATGTGCATGAATAATAACTTGTTCATTCTAAACCGACGTCAGGATTTAGTATCAGGGTAGATTGTCAGCTCACTAAAGTAATTATTCCATAAGCGGATGTGACCATCTTTGCATCCTCTTTCAATATAAGCTCATTTTTTCTTTTCTTTTTTTGCTTCTATAACTTTACTACAATTACCTAAACACTCTTCAAAAACCTTCTCGAACTCCTCATCCAATACTTGATCAAAATCTTCATTGAATGTAAAAAAGAAAGAATTTTGCGAAGAAGATGACATGTTGGTTATAGTTTTTTTTGGTAAATAGAAGAAAGTATTTGGTTTTAGACAAGTGATGGTAGAGAGAAAGGTTAAAGAAAAATGAAAGGAATAGATTCTTGTTACAAGCAATTGAAATCTTCTCTTATTTAATATGTTTGAAACAAATATAAGTATAACATGTGATGAAAGCATCCAAAACAAAGAAAGTATCCAAAATTGCAAGTTGCTTATCAACCACATGTGATTTCTTCAAATTGGTTTTTTGTTGCCGACACTGAATGTTTGCATTTGCACCGTTAAACTAATAGATCTTCTCCTTTGTGACCATGATAAATACATCCTCATGCTTCAAATGGATTGCACGTTTTCCTTTACAGGTATACAACCGTGTCTCAAAAGAAGTCTGCAAAAGACAAGTACATGACCAATGATGATTCTCAAAATTACATTACATCAGTGACATGAACAAAACTTAAACCAAGACTGAGACGAAACCTGAATTTTCTCGAGCTTTATCACTCAGTATTCCTGTGAACTGGAGCTGCGTCTCCATATCGTTAGAAGATTCACATTGAGTCTTCTTCCGGTATAAACAGGTCATGACGTTGTTGCACCAACCTCCTCTCTGTTTAACATTTTTTCAGTTGCAAAACATTAAACATTAAGAATGAAGACATATAAGCGGTAAGCTATCATAGACAGCGAATCATTCACTAAACCTCCAATTGAATGAGCCAGCTATTAGCTCCAGAGCCATGCCCACAGTGCAAGTGATATCCAGGCAATGTTCCATCCAAACAAACTTTGAATAAGATGCAACCAAATAAAAACAGTGATTAGATTACTGTTCTGTTTTTCTAAGACACATCACAACATGACATACACTACTTGTAATTCTGCTTATCTGACTTAAAGATGCATGATCATGTCAATTCCAATATATTTCTTGTAACTCAGGCTTTACTTTTACACATGCATGTGTCTGATTCATAGCTTCAATGAATCCACAAAAAATGGATAATATATTCGATCTACGAAAAGCCTTTCAGGAATCCGGTGTAGCTCTTCTCTTGTTGGAGTTCTAATATAATCGCATGCCAGTTGTTTAATAGCTTTAAGAACTTCAATAAATTTTCTCTGTACAGTCTCTTGATTTCGGCCAAATCTGAAACTAACATCTCTTTGAACTTCATTGTGCCCACATATTCGTAGAAACATAGCAACACTTTCTTCAACACTTATATTTAATGTTGGCTGTAGTCCATAATTTGTTTGAAGCGTATCACACAATATTGTGAAACATGGCAATGATATTCATAGCAACTGAAGACAAGCAGCATCATCTTGTTGTAGTTGATGCCAAATATTTCTCTATCCCAAACATCCTTCAGTTTGTACTGGTGCCCTTTCAAAATATTTCTGATAGTAACTGAGTGTTGGTTGAATTACTAACTTTGAAAATTGCTCATTTCCAAATTCCACAATTCAATTCTCTCTTCGTAATTTAGGTTCTGCAATCCTTGTACTGTCAACTATCATATACGAAAAGCCTGAAATTGTAAACATAAATGAAAACACATCACTAAACAAATGTAAATTTATATTAAATAGTAACATAAAATATTATAACTCAATAATCAAAACATATATTTTTATTTATTACAGAAACGAAAATGATAAAACATGACTACCATAAACTAATTTTTATCTTCTCAATCACTTTGATGACATTCATTTATATTTATATATGTTCTTCTCGAGCTTCCCATATGTTGAATAGACCTCCATGTGTAGGTGTTAGTGATTTTCGGGCAGGCTCATAATAATTTGTGAATTCAAGACCGTGTAATGATGTTTCTTGAGCATTTGCTAAATTTCCAACAGTTGCAGAATCTGAAATGTCTTGTTGAGGATTTCTCATACTTTGTTCTTGACTTCCAACTGAAAATCCATATTGAACATTGGTCGGAGTTATTCGTGATGACCCCCCTTGTTGATAACTTTGTGTCTGGTTTGGTAAAAACCCCATTGTGAATTATTTGGTGGTGTGATCCATTGTGAAGTATACAATGGTGTGCTCCATTGTGGAGCATTCAGTGGTGTGCCCCATTGTTGAGCGTTCAGTGGTGTGCGCTATTGTTGAGCATTTGGTGGTGTGCCCCACAGTTGAGCAGTTGGTGGTGTTCCCCATTGTAGAGAAGCTTGGAATGAACCCCATTGTTGAGCATTTGGTGGTGTGCCCCATTGTTGACCATTTGATGCCCATAATCCTCCTGTAGTGTTATCCACAGAGGATAGACTGCCAGATGATAATCCTCCTGAATGTGGAATCCCATATGATGGTCCAGAGCCTTACAGTTTTGGCACATCTTCGTTGTATCAGGAAACACTAGTCATCGCTTCTAACAGCTGTAGCCTATCCTCATCACTGCTTCCAGCTATATCAATAAAATACTTCCGCCAAAATACTAACTCCTAGTGTATTAAGGCATACCCAATAAAATTTGCCTTTTGGAATTTCTAAATCAAGATATATGGCTTCTGCTTTTTCCAGTCGTCATTGTTATTTTGGTCAAAAGCACCTGGGTGAAGTTGTTGCAAACTTTTTCGTTGGAACTCTATATATCTAGCTTTAGTGTCTTGTATGGTTGTTTCAAATGATTGTCTTCTCTGATCTTCTCGTGAACCACCACCAGTAGAAGGTCGTGACATTTGACCTAATCTTTCTGAAGTACTCCCACGTCTAGCGTTTGTCTGCAAATTTAACCTTGATCGTTGCTGGCCTCTTCGGGCGGGATTTTGGACCGCATCATTGACACGAGGTGTATCATCATCAACTGTTACATGATATATGTCTTCCTCTTCTTGCATCTCAGGAACTTGTGTTTCAGGAATGTCACCACTATCAGTATCAGAGCCATGAAGGCCGTCTTCACGCTTATTTATTATTTCTCTTTTTCTTTGTCCCGCATAATGTTGACATTGTGATTGGACATCGTGTAATACGAAACATCGCACCATCAAATCCCAAAATCTGGGGGTTTTCAATTGAAAGCCTTTGTTATTTTCCATCCATATAAATATAGAGCCATCAAATTATTTGGTACCTAAATTTAAATACATATTTTCATGATTATAAAGATTCTATTAAGTTTCTCCTATAATATATGACCATTTGTATTTTTTTTTGTCTTTGTTCTACAAATTTCAAAATTGTTATGTTAATTATTTTATTAAATTTATATAATATACATATTTTTAAAAATATGTATTTACCCCTTATGGTTGTTTTGCTTTGCTGGGAGGTGTTAGAATTTCTTTGCGAGTCGAATCATTTCACCTCGAAGAGTTTGTGTCCCGCCGATGATTAGACGCCATATCTGTTGTTAATAAAATTAAACAATAATTTTAGTTTGTTAGAAACTAATAATAAATATCGATACAATCTATAAAACATTTTTTTATGCTTTGCACAAATCAACTAATTTGTTTTTAACACAAAATCACATATCCATGTTAAGTATATATTTACGTATGTATATATATAAATCTATTATAGTAATATAATACATATATATTATATTTGCATATAAATTTTATGTAAAATAAATTTCATAAAATATTTCTATATTATTTTTATTAAAGATGCCACACATAATTATTTATTTGGTGTAAAAAATATTTTTCAGTAATTATAATTAGTTTGAATCATTGATATAAATATATGGTATGTTAATATACAAATAAATATATGGTATATGTGTATATATATAATTAATTATTTAAACTGAATATATTAATAAAAATATATGTCAGTATTATTTAACTTTGTCTGATATAAAATCCTAAGTAATAAAATATTTATCAATATTATTTAACTAATTTCAGTTTGTAAGATAGTATTAAAATAAATTACTATGTACCCTACAATACTGTTTGTACTAAGTATATTAGTTTATTTATAATATGATAAAATATGTGAGTTATTATAATAATAACTTTTAGATTTAAGTAAAATTATTTTGTTGTAAGAATACATATCAACAAGGAGGAATTACTGAATATGATTCAAAACTTGAGTTCAAATGCAAAACTAGACCTTTTATTGCATGTTTGACAAAAATAACTCATAAGAATAGTGAAATTACAACCTTAACCAGGCCTGGTCTAGAGCATAAGCAGGCTAAGCCACTGCTTAGGGCCACTTTTCTTCTTAATTTTTTATGGGCCACATATATATCAAAAATAATAGATATAGGGAAGAAAATAGTCAGAAGCTTAATTATCTACTTTTAATAGTCAAATTATAGAGTTTTTGGGAAGAAAATAGAGAGAAAATCGAAGTATAGAAGCTTAAGAAAAAGATAATGAGCTATCGAAGCTCAAAAATGAGTTTTTGGTGCCATGGTTGAAAATGGTGGTTGGATGAATTGATGATGATGGCATTTTCATAAATAGGTAAGGAAGATGAGGATTATTTGGTCAATTGGATATCCAAAAATAAAAAAAATTAATTTGAAGTAATGACAATATCGTAAATAATTAGAACTGAAAAAGATTGTTTGGACACAAAATGACTAATATTGAGAGGGTGATTTTTGTGAGTTAGATTTGCATTTCAACTCAAAATTTGAGTCATTTTTGCAAGAATCCCTATAAACAAATACAAGTATTTTTCTAAAACAATTAGGTGATAAAAAATCGAATATTAAAAGATAAAGTTTTTAATTATTTAATTAAAGGAGAATTATAAATATTTTAATTAAATACTTTTGATATAACAATAACCTAAATATTTACAAATTAGAGTTTTAAAAAATAATACAGAAATATATTTAACAGAAAAGTACATTTGGATAATAATTACTTTTAATTTCTTAAATATTGTATAAGTATAAATTTATATACAATTAACATAAATAAATCAAAAATACCTGACTTTAGTGAACAAAGTCTCACTTGAGTGATCGAAAGGGAGAGAGTATATGCTTTGATTTTGGTTTGCATATCACATATGAAAAAGAGTGATAATTATATACTGCTTTTAATCAATAAAATAATTGAATTTAAAACTAATAAATACAAACAATTCAACTGCAGTTCATTGGACCGTTGCATTTGTGAAAATGTCACATTTTGAAGTGCGATCCGTCATTAATTACTTGTGGAGAACCGTTTTTAATTTTTTTTTGTTGAAAAACACGAATTGATTTCAATTTCTTGATTGGTTTTCAAATTTTGTACTCAAATCTGCTTTTTGTCCGTCTCCAATCAAGACTAGGTTTGTTCTGTTTTTATCATAAAGATAACAAACATTTTGATATGTATGCAGCTTTTTTTAAAATTTATTTCTGTAATAAAAATTATAAATAGAAAAAATGTATACATATTTTTGTTCAGCATTTGATCTGTCACTTCATTTTATAATCTACATTTTTAATAATCTACTTGTATAGATTAATAGCCACAGTTTTTATTCTGTATCAGTGTTATGAATGGAAACAAATGCAAATGGAATTGATTTATGAATACTCTGCATTTATTTTGTATATCCATTCAAAACACAGCTTTTAATCTACACATAAATTATTTTATATTATTATTTTTCTGTAATCATGCGATAAAGCTAGTGAAAGTTATATAAATGTAGATGGAATGACTTTATTCATATTAATTTATTATACATTATTATGTGTTAGTATTATGGTTTCAACTACTTTCCTTCAAATCAATGCTTTCTTCAATTGATATGATATGAGTAGCGACTGCTTTTTTTTAGGATTTCAAGTCATTTATATATATATGATGATTATCATTGATGATAATTAATCTTTAACACTTTGAGTAAAAATAATAAAATTGGCGCTTCCAAACAAGCAATCAAATAGACGCTACTGTTTAAGTGCAGCTTAGCTTATGGCACTGAAACACAACTTTTGGGTCACTAGATCTCAAATGTCTTTAACCTCTAATCAGTTGTAGAATAAAGATCATGTATCGATTCATTTGTGGAAGATGAGATGCAAACAATGTCATAAGCTAAATAATAATGGAGATTTTGATTGAACAAAGACAAGTCTAACAACCTAACAATGCAATAGAAAGAAAGCATAAACTAAATGCAAGTAAACAGAACTAAACAATAAACTTAAAGCAATGACTAAGCAGGAATTAAGCAAGATGGCTACTATAGCAAGACCTAAGCAAGAATCACTACTAAATCAAGAACTAAGTAAGATGATCTTAAAGACAATTAATTAAAAGTAAGACTCAAAGTTCTAAGCAATTGTGGGACAGTGGCTTTCAAGAGTGAAAATGGGGATTTCTAACAAAGGCAAACATCAAGCATTCAAAAGCAAGCAATTCTCAATGTTGTACTCCTAGACAAGGTATCTAAAAGGAACCAACTTGGCATCAATAAGCAGTTCATATTCAACAAGATTGAAGTGTCAGACCCACTTATGATGGCGTATCCTTCAACCATGAGCATAAAGATCAGAACCATTCTAGCCTAAGAGATTTACTAATCAAGCAATCATTCTCTCACCCAAGCAAGCATTCAGATCAATTTATCAATCTTGTGAACCAATAAGGACCTAGTTAGCGAAACACCAATCAAGAATAAGGATTTAAGCACACAGCTGCAACATCCTAACAATGCTAAGCAATGAACATGAATGAAACAAAGGCAAGATCTTTTAATGCATACTATCTAACCATCAAGCAAGAATCTCAAAACCAGCATTATTTAGCCCTAAGCGAATCATCTTGCAATGATGAAATATCACTTTGGTGTCACTGAACAAAGGAAACATAGACCAAGCCAAACTATCAAGCCAAATAAGTGAACCATGCTTAGAGATGAGATAACAAGCCATTTAGTGAACCATATGCATCAATCAATACCATATTCAATCAAAAGGAGCAAGCTTTATGAACAATAACCACTTTGCAAGAGAAGGAGACAACATAAAATAGTTAAAATAAGGCTAATCACCCCTTAATCACATCTTAATCACCACTTTTCCTATTTAGAACTCTAAATCTAAAGTAAACTACTCACCAATCATGTTTAATCCCATTTGTTTGGAGTTAAACATAACTAGATGAGATTAAAATGCAAAGATGTTAAATCTAAACTACCAAGGTGCAAGAACAAAGATTAAAAGATAAGATTAAACCATAAAAATGCAAACTTTATTAAAGATTAAGATCCTTAAGGCAAACCACCCTTTAAGGTTTAGAGAAGAAAGAGTTTTTGATAGAAAGCTAAACTTGGATAAAGATAATGTTTTGTGGCTTCCTTTTTATAGTAGGGAGCCAAAAAAAGCATAAAAAACCTAAAAATGGGATAAGGTCAAAGAAAATAAAGTGGTCAATGCGCGGATAAGTTGCATCGAGGTTGTACGGACGATGTTCTGCTCGATATGCGACCTCGATATGGTCCGTGCAGCGCGCATCGGCTTCCTTCCTCGATGCTGGTCCTCGATGCAGACCAACGGCTTGGAATCCTCATGCTGATCCTCTTCCTCTCGTCCTGCTGCTTGCATCAAGCATACTCCACGGGTGTCCTGCTCGATATGGACTAGACTTTGCAAAAGCTCCATTTCTGACATCTTATTTGATCATGAGCTGCTTCCATCTCCTTTCCAACTCCAAGAAACTCCAAAAACACCTGAAAACCACCACAAACATGCACATGTATGCAAATGTATGCAATCCTAAGCTAAATGCATGCCATGTTGATTCTAAGTGCAAATGATACTAAAATGCTAAACTATAATGCAAAAACAGAGGAAAAGATGCATGAAATGCAGCCTAAAAATGATTTAAAATAGCAAGCTATCAGGCACTGAATGGAAGAAGTGTTTTTTATTTTTTTGAAGTGTGGGATAGTAATTGTGATGTTGCATGATTCATGTCTTTGGAAGATAATGAAAATAAACAAAGAAACAACAATCCTGAAGAGAATGTATAAGAAATATGTTTCTGGAAAGGTAATGCAAGTAAGCAAGTAAAGA